ATCAAACTTCAGGAGCAGATCACGTCCCTTCAGCACAAACACAGGAGTCACAATGATTCCTGTAAAAACAGTAGACACATGATACAATAAACATCACACACAATATATGATGAATCATCCACTGCTGAATGTTACTCCATCACTACACTTTATTTATTACACATTGAACCAGCGGTTCACCTTCAGCTCATCACTGCTTAACATGAAGTGACAGAAGTCTCTTAAAATGTCTCACGTCGTCTCTTCCTGAGGACACAGAGAAGCTTAACAGCAGAAACTAAACCCACTGAGAGCAAGTTGCTGCTCAAAGTTCTTCTTCTTGACGTGACAAAGTATTTCCATTCTGTCTCTTTCCCTCCGTCTCACCACACTAATGTCCCCCAGCATCAGCTACACTGAACATGGATGACTTTAGAACTTCCACAGACTGAACACTGAAGGAGTCAAACTCTGAGAGGAGTAAAGGTCAACATTTGTCTTGGAGGGAAAGATGCGTTCAGCCCGTTTCAACAAGTGGTGAGAAAGTGTCTAAAAGCACCGTGAATGTTTCCTCTGTATCACACACGGCTTCTATTGTAACGGTTTTAATATTCAATAAGATAAAACACGGAAATTATGGAAGATTTTTAAATGAAAACTAAAAAAAGGACTTAAAGAAAGTTTTTCCTCGACAACGGAAGCTGAATGTGTGTTTCTGTCTGTATGTGGATCCAGATCTTCACCTGAATATAAAAAATATAAAATAATCCTGTTGAGAGTAATGATATTATTCTACTAACGTTGGCATAGTTCATTGTTTTTCAAAGCTCTCATACTGTGAACTGAGATGATTTCCTGCCTCTGAGAGCTCAGTTCAAGAAGGAGCAACACGTGTCCTTTTTAGCGTGAAGAGGTGGAGAGAGCGCAGCAACGGCTGCCTGCGCGCAGAAAACCAGTTTGTAGAGAGGGCATCTGAGTAAACTGCGCGCACGGAATGTTTTTCTTTGCTAAATATAGTTCTCTGTGCTCGATACTTAAAATTACGCGCTCAGGATTGTGGCACAAATATAACGCCATATCCTTTGACGTGACAAACACGAGTCGTAATTAACCAGAAAGAAACACAGATCAAAAATACTTTTAACCAACTTCTATTGCAATAATTGTGCAACAGTATAAAAGCTTTGACCTTGAAAACAATCCAAACAACAGCATGTATATAAAATAAAGTTGTCACCTTGTGTTTTACATAATGGCTGCAGAGAAACGGCAAAGAGAAGCACAACACATGGGTTCATCTTGCAAAAAGAAAGTTGAGAAGGTTTCACTTCCTTAAAGCAGGGGTCATACGGTACGTCATATCCGGCCCGCCGTTACCGTCACCGACACCCCCTCTCCGGCCGTACATGTCTCCATATGGTTGACATGTAACCAGTAGTGATGTTCGATACCACAGATTTCCTTTCCGATCCGACACTGAGTAAAATTCCGGCTGGTATCGGTGATAGCCGATCCGATAGCGATACTCTGTGCATGGTAGATCTAAAAAAAGTTGTGTACTTTAAATACATAGCTTTAGGACTACAAGGACATCATAGTCACTTATTTAGTTA